CGGCTCGCAGGGCTCTAGATATTGTTCCCCACCCTCGCAGTGGGGTTGTTAGACTTCAAAGTAGATGTTGTCCTCGCCCAACTGGAAGCTGACTTTAGTGACCAACCACCAAGTATCCCTGCAGTGCCCAACCACCAAGTATCCCTGCAATGCCCAAGTATCCCTGCAGTGCCGAACCGCCGAGTATCCCTGCAGTGCTGAACCGCAGAGTATCCCTGCAGTGCCCAACCACCAAGTATCCCTGCAGTGCCCAACCGCAGAGCATCCCTCCGGTGCCGAACCGCCGAGTATCCCTGCAGTGCCCAACCACCACGTATCCCTGCAGTGCCCAACTGCAGAGTATCCCTGCAGTGTCCGACCACCAAATATCCCTGCAGGGCCCAACCGAAAAGTATCCCTGTAGTGCCCAGCCGCAGAGTATCCCTGGAGCGCCCAGCAGCAGAGTATCAATATTCTTGCAGCGCATTTGCACTGCTCCGAGGAACACAGTTGAGGCGGGGCAGGGAAACGTTACACTTCTTGTGCAACAACGGCTTTAGGGATGCTCGAAGAAAATGATTCTTAGTCTTTGATGTTTTCGAACATGCCAATGCTTTTTTGATGTAGGCATACTGTCCATCTTGGCAGCCCCCCATGTGATGCCCACACGTGTTTACATATATGCTACACACAAAACTGTCGTCAAAGAGCATCGAAATCGGGCATTTCAAGACTATAATGTAGATAGAAAGGCGGCTCAGGGTGGACTTGCCGAGTGCCATCCCCTCTACAAGCCAACAGGGATCCAAAAGAGGCCCATTAAACACTACCGCCATCGTGAGGTTCATGTCCGTCTGAGGGAGGGTAATGCCTTGGTAAATAACTCTGGTTCTCATACCAGGTTCGCGCAGCACAAGCTCCAGTTCTGGTTCTTCGTGTTCCAGCTCATCTTCGTGGTGCTTGTCACTGGTCTCTGACGTGGGTTGCGTGATCACCACACCCACAAGTAGTGACCACATGAGCCCACCTGCAATTCAATTTCAAATTTCAAATTCAGATGAATTTTCCAGATTTCAACCTCTTGAGATGAATAAACGCCACGCCCCACATGGACCACATGCAATGGGCAATTATGTCAGTCAAGGTCCTTCTATATTCCGATTACCACCTACTGTAAGGCATGAGGTTGCTGAACTTGCCGGACATTCTTTCAGAGGTAAAGGTATAAGGGTGACCCTCTCTCTTCGGACCTCTGCATTTTGGGGTTGGGGCTGATCTACCTCGTCATCTTGACGCCGGCCCTTCCGAAACTTTGAGCCGTCCTTGATGCGTTACACACGGATCATGGGACAGACTGTCTATCCCCCCTAAACAAACATTGAACCCCCAGCTGGAGCTTCGATGAGGTCACCACCGTTGGTAAGTCACTGCTGGAGGAGGCCAAGAAGTTGGTCGACGCCCCTTTAACTGCAGAGTAGGGATGCGTCAGAATCCTGAGCCCTGTTTAGGGAGTCAGAACCGCCCTTAACCCTAAACCCAGCTGGAGCTGTTGTTGTAAGCGTCCCGTCGCTGAGCTGTAGTCATCTGCTGCTATTACGAGAAGTCGAACTTGCAGGCTCAATTTTCGGCAATCGGGATCTTCTGAAACCCTCTGACAAACGAAGATGGAGCCTGAAAAGGGAACCCATGAAGACTACAGCCTACAGTCCTTGGAAACAGGACTTCGTAGGGTTCACTGTTGGCTTGGTGCGGGTAATCCGGGGGTGCCGATGCCAGAAGAACACAAGAGCCCAAGATCGATGATGGGACAGCGCTTCACGGTCACTATGCTTACTGTGGGGTTTAGGGTTTAGGGACTTTTGCAATCACGTATGCAGTATGCATCAACTTCCAAGGAAAACGCAATTCTGCCTCATGACTGCGCACATGATCACCAGATTGGCTCAACCCAGTCAAGCAATCCGCAACTTCCATCCCCCGTAATCCCTACAACAGTAGTGAGTCCTTGTAAGACGGAACCCTGACATTGGACCGTGATTTGAGGAAGGCACGCCACAAAATGCGTGAGAGCTTGAACGTTTGAAGACCCAGGCACCAACCTCCGTGTTCACTATCATGGCAGTCGCTCGTTGGGCATCAGGGGCATCTACACTTGCACCTTCCCGGGGGCAATGCGGGGACTCTGTACAAGTGTGGGTTATTGGTAAGGACCACATGAGGGGCCAAGAGGTCTCTGTTATGGATCGTGATCAGTAGTGGTGAGGGTTGGAGGCTGAAGTCTCTCTACCTGTCCGGAACGTGTTAGGCATTTTAAGGGGGAAGGGGGGTTAGGCGACACGAAGATGGAAGGAAGCCAGCTTTATGTGAAAGTTAAAGTGGGAGGTCTTGAGGTTGAGGCGATGTTTGACGTACAGGACTTCGCTGCAAAAGGGGGCTGTCCTGTATAATTTCGCATGAGCCAAGCTACAAGGCACAAGGCTCAACGAAGAGGTCCTTTTCAGGAATGAACTGTCCCGTACCTCAAGTTTGTGGAACTTGGGTGGGCTCCCGTTTTTGCCTTTAGTTTTGTGGATTGCATGGCAAGAGGTCTCCCGTATGAGATCCTCAAAGGGGCCCCGTATAATTGCATCAACTTCGCATATGCGACGCATCACTTGGGGTCCTATGTCAAGACACTTGAGGGATTGTCAAAATTATGGT